CACATCTGACCAGAGCCACATGAGAAATCAGCTCTGGAATCTGAATAAGTCAGGTACTCATCCTTAGCAAGCCTGTGCTTCTCCCGACAGGTCAAGAGGGTTGAATCTCCCACACTCTTTCTGCCTTTGTTTACCGAGTCTTGGGTTGGTTGATGCTTTTAACCTGTGAGTCTAAGCTTTGTACTGCGGCCAAGAAAACTACCAGCTACGAAGACAGGCTTTGACCTAATACTCTGAATGCTCTTCATTTATATCCCTTAATGGCTCAAAGATAATTACTCATCTCTTTGAGCGTGCTACAAAGCGAACCGCTAAATGTTTAGTGAGCAGCTACTATGTGCAAGGGGTGACGGGGGGGGGTGTAGATTAAGACCTTTTGTGAAAGAGCCCTCACGGTGTAAGGCAGCATGATGTGTCAAAGGCAAAAGCTATCTTTTCAAGGGTCTTTCAGTTTTGATTTCTTTTTCCTGGAACCTGCGTTTGGTGTTTGTGGCAGATCACTGTGCTTAGCTCTCTTGACCTTCCATTCACCTTTCCTGTAGTTCAAGAAGTTGAGAGCTGACCCAGACAAATCTACAAAAACCACCTTCAAAAAGGAGCTAGACGGGTCACGCAAGAGTGGATGGAGTCTAGAAAGTCAGGTCAGAGGGCTAGCATCCGACCAGAGGGGGGTGGGGGAGAGAGGAGCATCCCAAGACTGAAGGGGAGGCTTTGTCCTGTGCCGCAATTGTGGCACCTTCCTAATAGTCAAATATTAGCCTTGAAGGAGTCTCTTAGGGATCGTGACCACCACCGTAGTATAAACAACAAGTTAGACCAAATTCAGGGAAGGTCCCATGTCACCTCTGTGTAGCTTTGTGAAACTGTTCTCTCTGTGCTCTTCAGAAAGTTAAGACCTCTAACTTAACTCTAGGTGGATCCTCTAGACCGAAGATAGATAAAATTACACAAACACACTTTTGTAAAGGGGCAAGGGAGAAACAAAAATCCCATTGTCATCTCCCAGACCACATTTACAGAGTGGCATCCATTGAACCCAAGGACTTTGAAACTAGGGACAAATTCCCAAATACTCGGGGGGTTGAGGCATCTATTTCCACCGTTTCATGTGGTTTTTATTTATTTACAGAGTACCATGGTTATTCATGATGCTTTACAAACCATAAAAACACGGTCTCCACCCTATAGAATTTACAGTGTAATTTAAACATGCTCGCCGCATGGGCTGACAGGTCAGGCATGCCAGGGGGTGGTGGCCGTGTTGTATAACACGGGTGTGGAGGGTTCCTTCTTGAGTTATAAATACTTCCCGGTTACGAGAGCCTTTCATCTGGGATCCCCAAGCACTTTAGAATGGCAATAACCTCGATTGCTTTCTGAATGCACTTTCTATAAACTGTTGTGGGGACTGGGTAAATGCTTTTAAATGCCTATTAATTGATCCGTGGATCTACTCATTGTCCATATGAAACAGCACGGATGTAAACACCATGATTTAGGAGAGGCCTGCTGTGGCTTGGGGTCGGTCTGCTCACAGATTACAACCCCAGCGAGGCCTAGCTGCCTTGCCTGGGCCTGGAGAGGGTCACTCGGAACCTGGGTGCTTGAGAAACTAGACCGGAACAGCCATCACTTCCTGGTGTCCTGTTCACTATCTGTGGGCAAATCAAGATTTCAGAGTCCGTGGGGCTCACACAAAGAACGTTCATGGGAGGCAGAGAAACAAGAGTTACCCCTCAGCTGGCAGCTGCGGCTTTCGCTCAGCGTCCTACCAATACTGTAATTTAAACTTTTCTGAAGTGTCTCACACTCTGTTTAGCAACGCCATTTCTAAAATGTTAAAGGTTTCTATTTTCTTGCAACTGATGGGGTTTCCCTTTCTGTATCTCACTCAACGGTCATATAGCAACTGACTAGTCATTCCTGACCTGTCTGACGAGTTCAGTCAAGTCCAAGGGAAGACTGCCCCCCCCCCCCCCCCCCCCCCCTTACAAGTCCTGAGGGTTCACCCAGAGGTTCACGAGATAAGCACCCTCCTTCCCATCACCTTTTACAAGTTTCTCAGACTTCCCTTTCAAAAGCCCCAGATGGAATCACATCGCCTCCCTGCTTTGAAAACCCCGCCTAAGTGGGCAGGAGGACCAGGAATTCCAGATCACCACAGCTAATGCAGCAATTTCAAGGTCAGCCTGGGATCTACGAGACCCTGTCTTAAAAGAGAGGAAGGGAAAGGGCTAGGGAATAAAAGCCAGTGTGTACCTGACCTTCGTGGCCCTGGCCGCCAGGGGGTCATCCCTTCACCATGTGCGTGTCTCCTGTAATGTCGTCTTTCATCCGTCCCCCCTCTATCTTCCCACTGAACTTCTGCCCTCTCAGGTCCCACCCTAACCCTTCCTGTCTGTAGCCTTCCATGGGCCCCCGCCATCCGTGTCCCCCCCCCCCAACACCCTCTGTCCTCCACCCCTTTGAACACAGCTGTCTTTCAGGGAAGAGGTACTCTTCTAGACTAGGGCTTCTTCTCGGCTGTAGTTACCACCTGCAAAGCTTTATCAAGGGTCTTCTTTACATTTTGGAGAGGTATTGAAGGGGAAAATAGGTGCCTCTGTAGCCTAAGACCCCTGGAAACTATTTAGAGCCCTGGTTTTGAAGGATTTTGTCCCACCCGTTGTGAGCAGATCATTTCAGGTTATGCTGACCACTTGGATTGACAAGTGTTTGGTTCAGCTTTCGGATTTTTGCTGTATATTTGAAAAAAGTTAATTGTGATAAGGAACAGAGGTTTATCATTTTTAACCAGATTTAAGTTAACCGTTCCTTAGAACTGAGAGCATTCACCCTATGGTTATGTTAAGGAGAGAGGCGTTCTCCAGAAGGCTTTCATGTTCCCGAAGGCAGTTTGCACAGAACACTAACTTTGCATTTTCTCCACCCTCCCCCATCTCCAGCTACCCCCATGGCCCCCCCCCCCATTCTCCTCCTCCCCCATCCCCCTTCCTGGTCCAGTGAGTCAGACTACTCTACATAGGTCAGGTAGGTAACACCGTCCCATACCTGACCAGTATTGTCACTAGCTCAATTAGCATGTCCTCAAGGTTCATCCGGATTGCAGTGCATTTCTGAATTTCTTTCTCTTTTTAAGGCTAAATAATGTTTTATTATCTACATACGTCGAATTTCGTTCAATCGTCTGTGTGTCCGTGGGTAACTGAGCCAATTTCACGTTTTAACTGTTTCAGCTGGTGCAGCTATGAACACGGGGAAGAAAAATCCGAGTGTCTGCTTCCAGAAACTCCTTTGAGGAATATACCCAAACACGGACAGACTTACAGGACAATGTGTTGATTATATGCCTGTTTTGTTTTTTTTTTTTTTGGAACAGTCATACCACTTTTCGTGGAGGATGAACCATTTTATTTTAATTATTATTGTTTTGGGCTTTATTTTGTTTTTTGAGACAGGGTTTCTCAAAAAAAAAAAAAAAAGTGTAGCCTTGGCCGTCCTGACTGTGTAGACCAGTCTGACCTGGAACTCAGAGATCCACCTGCCTCTGCCTCCCATTTACGGGGATTACAGTGTGTGCCAACACAGCTCTGCAAGGGTGTGCCGTTTTAAATGGACAAGAATTTTTTTTGAGTTCCGCGTCCCTCATCCATACTGGCTATTTTATTTTGCTTTGCTTTGTTTACAGCTTCTCAAGTGCGAAGCATTACCTCACTGCTAATTTGATTAAACTCATTTTTGAACCTCTGCGGTCAAGATTTTAATTCCCCAGTTGCACTCAATCTCATTTCACAGCGTGAGGTCTAACGCTAGGAGGTCTGAGCCTGCCTGGGGGTGGGGGGGGACGTTGCGTTGCGGTGGAGCCCTGAGAAGGCTCCTCAGAGAGGGAACCGATAGGTAGGTGCGCTTCTGAATACCAACCAGCAGGGGGCACCTACACAAGCCGTTCGATTTCCCTGGTCAAAACTGGGTCCTAACCAGCAACAGGGTCCTCTGACTTCCTGGCCCCCACGGCTTGTTTAGTGCTGACAGTGTCACCATCAAAGAGAAGCAAGCAAGGGTGCCAAGTGACATTCATTATGCAAGACAGTCACACCTTGCAGGACATTTAACATTCTAGGCCCAAAGGTGGCGTGGTATGGTCCCGGTGTGTGTGGGGTGCGGGAGTGGTGTGTGTGGGGTGCAGGAGTGGGGTGTGTGTGTGTGTGTGTGTGTGTGTGTGTGTGTGTGTGTGTGTGTG